GGGCTTCTCCCGGGTATCTGCTCCTGGCATGCTCAGCCCTCACAAGGACTCGTCACTGCCGCCGGCAATGGCTCCTGTGCCCAGGAAGCTGCCCTGGGCCAGCCTGGGGCAGGTGGAACAGGCTGCTGTGGGGTCCTGGGCTCCTCCTGCCACCAGCCCTCCCTGAGCCCCAGCCCTGCAGAGGCGCGGCAGGGGAGGGGGATTCCTGCATCCCTGACACCCAGGGCAGCCCTCTGGACCCCCGCTCCTGCTGAGCCCCCCCTGCATCCATGGGAAAGGCTCGACCCAGCTCTTGCCCGCGCTGCTGCACCAAGGGCTGCGGGAGGGGGAGGAAGGTGAAGTTTTCAGAGGCTCCTCCTAAGTGCGAGCAGGGAGAGCAGGACCCGGTGGCAGTGAGGGCAGGGGCACCCGCGCGGTACGTCCGGGGAGAAGGCAGCTTGGTGCAGAATCAGCTGCCAAACCAGCCCTGTGCCCACACAGTGGATCCAGGACCAGCTACCCCAGGAGTCCCCAGCTCAGCTCACGGGGCTTCTCCCGGGTATCTGCTCCTGGCATGCTCAGCCCTCACAAGGACTGTCTGTGCCAAAAAGCCTCCCGTGGAGCTGGAGGAGGTTGCAGGTCTCTCTGCAAACCCTCCCAGCGAGTGCTGAGGCTTGTCCGAGCAGGAAGCATCACCTGTGGTGTGGGGCCCCTCACCAGCACCACTGGGGGAGCAGATCCAGCTGCATGACTAGGACAGGGCACACCAGGACACGATACAGCCCAGGACAGCAGGACTTTACTGGGGCACAACCCACGGGCTGACCCTGAGCACACAAGTGACAGACCCAACCATCGACATTGCCATCCACCAGGTCCTCAGTGGTGGCAGCAGCCCTGGAGCAATGCAGGAACCACCAAACCTCCTGGCCTTGGGAGGGGTCTGGGGAAGTGGGAGGGGACCCATCAGGCTGAGGAGGGTTCCCAGCGTGCTGCTGCCCCCAGCACAGGGACCGCAGCACCCACATCTGACAAGAACCAGACAGAGGGCTGACACTGGGGGTGCATCAGGAACAAACCCCATCCTTATTCCTGGCCCTTAAATCACATGAAGAAAAAAAAGCAGTAACTAAACCAAGTCTGTTCCAGAGGTGAAACTTCTCAAGACCTTATTCATCATCACAAGCCACACCACTGCTCGTGTACCACAGGCACTTCAAGACCCCATGGGGGGGAGGGGGAGGTGTCTCTATCTCTGCCAGGTGGTCCCACGTGTGTTGGCTCACCCTGGGGTGCACAGAAGACCAGCCCAGGCAGCACCACTGGCAGTCCCACGGGGCCAGACACCCCCAGCAGGATGGGGACAGCTGGGGAACAGCAGCACCGGTCCCTGCTCCCTGCACACCTCCCGTGGCACCGAGTGCAGAGCAAACACCGAGGTTTCCAGCACGTTTTCCCTCCAACAGCAAAGTTTCCAGCACATTTTCCCCTCTGGCCACCACGTCTCTCAGGACTGGACCGAGGGGAAGGGCGAGCGGCCGCCGCAATCCCGGGCAGCGGGAGGCTCGCCAGCAACGGCCTCCGAT